CATTTTACTACTAACCGGGCTTTATACTTCTGAATTTTCAGATCTTGATCCCTTTTGAGCTTAAACACCCACTTAAGCCCAATAGGCTTGCCATTATCCGGAGGTGACACTAATTCCCATGTACTGTTCTTCTCTATAGCACTTAACTCTTCCTCCATAGCACTTCTCCACGTGATCACAGAAAGCTTCAGTGACAGTAGCTGGTTCTTCATCAACAAAGTTGTAAAATTCTTCATCATCTTGATCTACTTGTTGTGTCTCGGCATAGAAATCACTGATATTTTTGAATCTCCTCGGCTGAGAATCAATTGAGTCAGATGATTCACTGATAGGTTCAGACAAGACAGGTTCTGCCTGTGCGTTGGAGAAAGATGAGACAGGCTCTTTCTCCAAGTTGACTGAGTCAACACTAGGATTAAAGAAGAAATCAATTTGCTTCATGTATGTCCGCACTTCAATATCAGACTTGTCCTAATTCCAACTTTTGTCTTCATCAAAAGTTGCATCTCTAGAAAGCTCTATCTTTCCATCTGCTGGATTCTAAGCCTGATATCCTTTTGAGCCTCTCTCATACCAAATAAAGACCATAGGCTTACTCTGATCTTCTAACTTCTTAAGCCCTCCACCAAGTGTCTTCACATAAACCACACATCCGAAGACTTTAAGATGTGATATGTGAGGTTTTCTTCCTATCCACGCTTCATAGGGAGTCATCCCCTCCAAGCACCTAGTGGGAGCTCGATTGAGTAGGTATACTGCTGTGTTTACTAGCTCGATAGAGGCATTGACTTGTGCTTTAAAATGGCTCTCACCATCTCCACAATTGTACCATTTCTCCTTTCAACAACTCCATTTTACTAAGGAGAATAGGGAGTGGTCAGCTGCCTCCTAATACTATTTCCTTCACAGAAAACTCAAAATTCAGTAGAATTGCATTCCCCCCTATCAGTCCTCAGACAACCAATTTTCAACAATTTTTCAGCCTCAGCTATTACCTTAAATTCTTTGAATGCTTCAAGTGCATCTGACTTCAGCTTCAACATCTTCACCTACATTAATTTGAAGAAATCATCAAAAAATAAAATAAAATACTTACTTCTATGGAGAGTTGTTAATTTTATTGGCCTACTGATGTGACTTAGTCGTTGTATAGTAAATCGTGCAAATTTAAAGTTTATAAATTAAAAAATATTAATTTTCAGATATTTAGAAGTATTTTTAAATAAATATATTAATATAATTTAATAACAGTTTCAAAAATATTAAAAATTTCTAAGTCGATCACAAGGATGTAATATAATATTGAGTAATTTTTCAAATTTTTTCTCAAAGAATACGATTTGTTATAAATTTTAGATAAGAAATACAAATGAAATATATTTAAAATTCACGAAAAAAGAAAATAAGGGTGCGGACATTAGGATGATGTCAGTGCTTGATGAATGTGAATCAATCGGAAATAAAATTTCATCCAACAATTCTTATGTAAGCGATTAAAAATGACTTAATTGATCAAATTAAGATTTGTAAAAGTCAAAAGAATTATAATTTAATGAAAAATAGTTTGGTAAATTTAAATCACACAAATTATCACTAAATAAAGTGAAATTTAATTGAAAGTAGGAAAATGCATCAAAAATACACTGAAATCTTGAGTGTTTGGAGGATTGTCGTGTAGTGTTTATGGCCTCAAAGGCTCTCCTTGGACAATGACGATGTGGGTAATGATGGCGAGTAGGACCCATCTCCATCAGCTCAAGAGACACTAGTAGTCTAAGTTTAGCTCGATCGAGACACGAAGACGAAGGAGCCTGGCTTTCGATACACGGCCTAGCCCTTCGGAACAACGACATTCCACCTCCGTGACGACGACGAGCTTGAGGTCACCCTTATCTTTCTTTATATTTTCACGTTGACTTGTTGGGCCTTGCGTTTGTGTGTTAGCGGGCCCAATTCTCTATGTGTGTGTTGTTGTTTGTGTCTCCCTTTCTTTAGGGTTTTATTGGGTCTCTCTTTTGAGGCCCAATTAAAACCCTAAGGGGGGGGACCTATGTTTCTTTCCTTTTGGGCCTCTTTTGGGACTTATTTGGGTCTTCATTTGAGGCCCACTTAAGCACTGTACGAGGGCCCTCCTCTTTCTCCTTTTAGGGGAGCTTATTGGGTCTCTCTTTTAGAGGCCCAATAAGTCCCTTTTGTAGCATTTGTGGCTTATGGGCTTGAGGGCCTCAAGTGGGCCCACCTCCCCTTAGCCCACTTGTGGACCCTATATAAGGAGAGGTAGGACCCCCCCTCAACAGGAAATGCCAAATTTTTTGAGAGATTATCATTTGTGAGTTACCTTCTTTGTGACCTAGGATAGGGAGGGAAGGAGGGAGAGGAAGGCCATCGATACCCTTTGAGGACTTCGTTCATCGTGACGTTGCTGCTTGAGAAGTCCCACCCGCCAAACATCTTCATTGCCGCCCATGAGATTGCCGCCGTCACCAAACGAAACAGTCGCGGTTGCCGCTGCAACTGCCGCCACCTCTGCTGGAACCCCGTCACGTTGTCGTGACGAAAGGGGCTTGCTTCGCCTCCCTATGAGCTGTCTCCGAGCACTCTGCCGGAGTCTCTTGACTCCTAGTTCGACTGCCCCCTCTTCCTTCGGAACTCCTCCATAAACTCGCCGGAGCTGCCATCCACCGCTCTGCCCAGTCGCTGGCCGTTTACCAATGAACGCCTACCTGCCGCCGATGTCAGGGGAGACCCTACAGCCATGCCGATGAGCCAGATCCAGTCCAAGCTCTGCACAGGCCCTTGTCGGAGTTTCCCGATGATCCGCCACCATCGCACCGTTTCCGGCGCTGCCTAGACCAGGAGGGCTCAACCCTCCCCAGTATCATCGGCCGAGATCATCTCCTTCCTCTGCTCTGCTTCCTAGCGCTGCCAAAGAAGGCTGATCCTTCCGGCGACGGTTGGGCTTCCGCCCAACCGCCGACGCTCTACATTCCCACCAAAGTGCCGCCGCCACGCGCGCCCCGCATGCCAGCTCTTGCGGCCCGTGTGCCCACCTGGTGCTGCCACCCACGTGCCCTGAGGCACGCCACGCGGCTTGCCACGTGCGCCTGCTAGCGTGCCCTTCGGCCCACCAGTGGGCCCACGTTTGTACCGACCACACCATGCCTAACGACAACGACTACTGTGACTCTCGACCAGGACCAACTATCGACGCTAAGCATCGTTCTTTACCAGACATCTCTGCTTATGTCGAGTCTCCGCTCCGTCACGACCCGCCGGGCTACGTAGACCCCAAAGGTTAGCTCCGTACCCTTTCTTACTTAAGTTTAATTATCTTTCGAAGGGTTTTCTCAGCTCATTTTCACCGCCATTTGGAGAACATAGACAGGATAGGATGGGTTATAGGATCGTGACTTCTGACGCTGCGTCAGACTCATCACTGTTGGTGAGCTGCAGCCCTAGGCTACTTCACGACGACCGTTCTGCCATCTGTCTGAACGTGGACCGAGAGGGTCTCACACTTACCATCGTCGAGTGTTTCCCCGAGTTATCCTAGGTTGATAGTGCATATTGGTACACCTACCTGTACTTAGGTTAGGTGGTCAGACCTAAAGTCTAGGGTCCCTACATTCTTATCGGATCATTCTGACTACCTCATCCCGGGTTTTGAGTTTCATTGGTAAGGTACAAGGGTTCTTGTCCCGTCCTGCATCAAATTAGTATCAGAGCTAGGTTGGGTTACCACCTAACCTCAGTCCCCTGAGGACGCTCACCAAGCTTCCATATCACTAGTAGACCATTCATATAGGATTGCATTGACATCTAGGCAACCATAGGACCCAGCCATGATAGAGACACACTCAGCTAGAACTAGAGGAGGTTCACCATCGTCACGGCACTTGCGTGAGGCCTCAGATCCCGCTACTCCCCAAGTATCTAGAGTGGACATGAGTCCACCATCTCCATCGAGACTAACAGATTTAGTACTAGACCCCTCCCGACCCTGGGAGACTCTGAGCCCTATGTCAACCGGAGAGGCATCAAGGCGGCCCTAGCTGCTCGCGGCTATGAGCCGCCAAGCTGGGAAGGAATCCACACCCTACTATCCACCGAAGAGTACTAGGGGTCATGGCAGAGGTGGCCGATAGCAACCTTCACCTTGATACCCTTCGAGGGATGGAGCACACTCCCTTCCAGATGATGTCATGTGTAGCATGACCCAAGCTATTGAGCGTCTGGAGCGAGCTACCTATGTAGTCGCAGCTCATGGCCCACCGCCACCGGCTCTTCCGCCGGTCGTGTATCCGGTCACACCACCAACCGCACCGCCTATTACACAGGTATATCAAGAGCATTGCGAGCCCTGTTGGCCCGTGAGCCCCTATAGTGATCCATATGATCACCAGTACCTCGATCATGATCATCGTCGAGGGAATCTTCATCACCACGACGCACCACGTCACGACGATGGCCACAATCAATTGGGTGGTCGTTGGCCACAGGATACTTATGATCGCCGCGAGCTAGTCTACCTTGCTCATAGGGACGATCTCCCACGTCCACCACCACCACCACCCCGACCCCACTATGAGGACTATCGACCCCACAGACGCGACCAGGGACATGACAGGAGAGACCTTTCGGGTTACAGAGCTGACCCTTCTCGACGAGAGGAGCTCGATCGATGAGCAAAGCGTCAGCCACGAGATCGCAATGATTCCTACCGTGACTACCAGCATACTTCGGAGTTTCACCGAGCACCCCAAGATGCCCACCAAGATCATTACTACAATCAAGGGCATTACCCGAGTCCTCCCCACCATGACCTTGGTGGTGACCATAGGGCCGATCGATTGGATGATCGGGACAGGCGATGTGAGGATCACAGAGCTCGCATACTAAAAAGTGTGCACGCTGATGTGGTAGTCTTTGATGGCTCCCGTGAGCCTAAGGACTTCATAGATTGGGAGTCTAGTATGAACTCCTATTTTCGGTGGTAACGCATGGATGATGATTTATACATGGAGTATGCAAAGATGAGACTTGGCAGACAAGCCAAGATCTTTTGGGAAAATGAGAGCTACGCAGCATATCGACGAGGGCAGCCCATCACATCATGGGTTGATATGGCATCACGCTTGAGGAACAAGTATGTTCTTTGACAATACGAGTCAATGCTGTTCTTCAGTTAGTTAGACCTCTAACAAGGCAAGATGTCCATCCGAGACTATATTCAGGCTTTTGAGGAGTGCCGCATGAGGTGTTGCTTTGTCGAGGACTCACGTGTGGTTTTGGGCATTTTCACCCACAGACTTAGTCTGGGGCTTCAAAATGAGGTACTGAAAGACAACCCGTCTGAAGTAGACGAGGCCTACTGCATAGTAGAGCATATGGAGTGACCTACCGAGGACACACAGTTCACCCCACCTACTGAGGACACACAGTTCACCCCACCTCTGATCACACGATCTATACAGACACCGACAACAGCACCAATGCGAACTAGTGTAGGGAATAGACGGACTACACCAACGATATCAGTAGGGTCTGCACCACCCCCGCGTCCGCCACCAGCTGACACATCCGACTGTGCTACGGCTGCGTCCCAAGCTCATATCACTTGTTTCAAGTGTAAGGGTAAGGGGCACTGGATGAGCCAATGCCCATCTTCGAATATCCTCATAGAGATCGAAGAATTAGGTAGCAGTTCACACGAGGATGATGTCCCTGTAGGTGATGATGTTTACATTACTGATGAGGGTTTGGTTGATGAGTGTGATGACACTCCTGATTTGATTGGCTACATCTAGATCCGGCCAGCCACCGTACTAGCAGCCGAGGCTGCCTTTCTCGCTGCCTCATTGACGAGCACTTCATCAAGGGGACTGGTCAGTATCGTTGTCCAGCGTCCATCTCGAGACGCGGTTCCTGCACCACAACTTGACACCACGGCAGCTAGAGAGATCACCTTGGCACCGAGGACGACTATGCCCACATCTTCGCCTATGACAGACGACTCCCTTCGCACGTCGATCTTCTATACCTATGTGAAGATCAACGGACACGCGTGCAAGGTGATTGTGGATAGCGGCAATTGCGTCAATGCTGTGTCAGACTAGGTCTTGTAGAGGGAAAGGCTGAGTACTATTAGCCATCCAGCCCCTTACGACGTATCATGGATAGATGCCACTGCACTACCCATTCATCGACAATGTCAAGTGCCACTTAGGGTGAGCACCTATGATAAGCACATCTTGTGTGATGTCCTTCTGATGAAAATCGGCGGCATCATACTTGGACGGCCCTGGTTGTTTGACTATGACGTCCAACTCATGGGAAGAGCAAACACTTGCTCTTTCATATATCGAGATCGCTGACTTGTTTGGTATCCACATACCAACAAGCCCGTGCTAAAGCGTGACCCTAAGTCACGTATTAGGTTAATTGTGATGAAAGGACCTGCCTTTCAGCATGAGATCATGTCAGACTTAGATGGATCCCCGATGTGCTTCGCTTTCGCTTTGGATACACGAGCCGACACGACCCTTACCCTGCCTTCTCCAGAAGTCGAGGGTATATTATCGGAGTAAGCCGACGTACTCTCAGAGGAGCTTCCCAAAGAGCTACCTCCATTGAGGCACATTCAGCATGCTATCGACTTGGTTCTCAGAACATTACTCCTAAACCTGCCGCACTATCACATGGAGCCGGCTAAGTACGAGGAGCTTAGCCAACAGGTACATGAGCTTTTGGACAAGGGACTCATCCAACCGAGCCTTAGTCCCTACGCTGTGCCTACATTACTAGTGCCGAAGAAGGATGGCACTTGGCGCATGTGCTGCGACAGTCACGAGATCAATAGGATAATGGTTAAATAGTATTTTTTGATCCTGTGATTACAGGACTTATTCGACATGATGACAGGAGCCACTATCTTTTCAAAGATAGATCTATGCAGTGGTTATCATCAAGTCAGGATACGTCTAGGGGACAAGTGGAAGACCGCCTTCAAGATCAAGGAGGGCTTGTACGAGTGGAGGGTCATGTCATTTGGCCTCTCCAACACGCCTAGTACGTTTTAGAGGCTAATGAATGAGGTTTTATGCCTATTCATTGGCCAGTTCGTTGTAGTATACTTCGACGACATCTTGGTCTACTGTGGTACTCGAGACTCCCACCTCCAGCACTTACGATAGGTGTTTGAGGCACTTTGATAGGAGAAGCTTTATGCCCATCCTAAGAAGTGTAGTTTTTTCACTTTCGAGGTTACGTTCCTCGATTTTGTTGTCTCTGAGCAAGGAGTTTCTGTGGACCCCAAAAAGGTCCACGCGATAGTCACCTGGCCACAGCCAGGCAGCATGCACGATGTTCGGAGCTTCATTGGACTAGTGACGTTCTACCGTTGCTTCATTCGGGACTTTAGTTCCATTACCTCTCCGCTTACTGATTGCCTCAAGAAGGAGACCTTCCTTTGGACAGAGGCAACTGAACATGCCTTTGATTGGGTGAAGGCTCTTATCACTCATGCACCGATACTTTGCCTACCCGACTTTGGCAAGGTATTTGAGGTCGCCTGTGACACCTCGGGCGTCGGTATTGGGGGTGTCCTTAGCTAGGAAGGCCATCCCATAGAGTACTTCAACGAGAAGCTGAATGATGTGAGGCTTAGATACTCCACTTACGATCGTGAGTTCTACGCCGTCATTCAGGCTTTCAAACACTGGCGCCATTACCTCCTTTATATGGAGTTTGTTCTCTTCTCGAACCACGAGGCCTTGAAGTATCTACACTCCCAGCAAAAGCTGAGCGATCGACACGCACGATGGGTTGAGTACTTGCAGGACTTCACCTTTGTCCTTCGCCACAAGAAGGGCAAGAAGAACGTGATGGCAGACGCCCTCAGCCGACGAGTCCACTTGCTGAACCTCGTGAAGGTTTAGGTGACAGGATTTGAGTTCCTACCGGATTCTTACACAAATTGCTCGAACTTTGGCCACGTTCTACGAGCACTCTCGGATGGTCCATCCCGATATCATAAGGACTTCCTTGTGGTCAACAGATGTATGTTCTTTAGGAGTAGATTGTGCATTCCATGCACATCCCTCCGTGACTTCCTCACTTGGGAATGTCACGTAGGAGATCTATTCAGCCATTTCGGTCACGATAAGACCATCGCAGTAGTCGAGTACTAGTTCTACTGGCCGACCCTCAAGCGCGATGTAGGGAACATTGTCGCTCAGTGTCGAGTGCGTGCACTCGCCAAGTTGGTAAAGAAGAATGTTGGACTCTACACGCCACTTCCAGTGCCGACCTACCCATGGGACGATGTCAACATGGACTTCGTTTTGGGACTCCTGCGCACTGCACGATGACATGACTCGATCATGGTGGTCGTCGATAGGTTTTCAAAGATGGCACACTTCGTGCGATGTTCGAAAACCTCTGACGCCTCTAAGGTCACTAGCCTCTACTTTAGAGAGATTGTGCATCTTCATGAGCTACCCAAGTCCATAGTCTCAGACCGTGACATATAGTTTACCGACCACTTCTGGAGGACTCTTTGGAACTTACTTGGGACTAAGCTCAAGTTCTCCACTGCTTACCATCCACAGACTGACAGCCAGACCGAGGTTGTCAATTGTAGCTTAGGGAATCTACTTCGGTCATTAGTCGACAAGAGCTTGACCACTTAGGATCTGATCATTCCATGCGCCAAGTTTGCCTATAACTCCTCGACCAACCATACCACTGGCATGAGCCCCTTCGAGATTGCACATGGCTTAGCACCCCACAAGCCCCTAGATCTAGTACCCTTGGACCCTCATGTTAGAGTTTTTGAGGATGGTGTTGCATTCACCTAGCATGTTAGTTAGTAGCATCAGGACATCCACGATAGGATACAGAGTCAGAATGCATTGTACAAGTAGGCTGCCGATATGCATCATCGACCCCGGATCTTCCAGGTGGGAGACCAGGTTATGGTGAGGATGAGGCCCGAGCATTACGCTCTTGGCTCTGCTACGAAGCTTCACGCTCGTAGCGCCAGCCCATTTCGTGTTCTTTCCTAGATAGGCGAGAATGTCTATTCCGTTGACATCCTTCCTTCGTGGGGGATTAGCTCCACATTCAATGTGGCGGATCTGGTGTTGCACCAAGCCCCACCTCTTACATCTGACATCGAGCCCTCATCTACCGGCCCCTTCTCTGAGAGAGAATTTGTCATGGAGTCCACTCCCCCTATTTTCCCACCTGATTGGCACGAGCGAGTCGAGGAGATTCTTCGGGAGGTAATTGACTTTACAAGGGACAGAATTTCACGGAGATTCTTAGTACGTTGGACGGGTCACCTGTCAGAGGACGATGCTTGGATTTCAGAGGCAGGCTTAGAACCACTACAACCAGACTTGCTGGAGCCCCTACCTTCCCCACTTGCCAACTCGTCAAAGTCGAGTTCTTTCGACCTAGGAAGATTGATGGCGAGCAGGACCAGTCTCCATCAGCTCAAGAGACACTGGTAGTCTAAGTTTAGCTCGATCGACACACGAAGACGAAGGAGCCTGGGTTTCGATACACAGCCTAGCCCTTCAAAATGACAACATTCCACCTCCGTGACGACGACGAGCTTGAGGTCACCCTTATCTTTCTTTATATTTTCACGTTGACTTGTTGGGCCTCGCGTTTGTGTGTTAGGGGGCCCAATTCTCTATGTGTGTGTTGTTGTTTGTGTCTCCCTTTCTTTAGGGTTTTATTGGGTCTCTCTTTTGAGGCCCAATTAAAACCCTAAGGGGGGGGACCTATGCTTCTTTCCTTTTGGGCCTCTTTCGGGACTTATTTGGGTCTTCATTTGAGGCCCACTTAAGCACCATACAAGGGCCCTCCTCTTTCTCCTTTTAGGGGAGCTTATTGGGTCTCTCTTTTAGAGGCCCAATAAGCCCTTTTTGTAGCATTTGTGGCTTATGGGCTTGAGGGCCTCAAGTGGGCCCACCTCCCCTTAGCCCACTTGTGGGCCCTATATAAGGAGAGGTAGGACCCCCCCTCAACAGGAAGCACCAAATTTTGTGAGAGATTATCGTTTGTGAGTTACCTTCTTCGTGACCTAGGATAGGGAGGGAAGGAGGGAGAGGAAGGTCGTCGATACCCTTTGAGGACTTCGTTCATCGTGATGCTGCTGCTTGAGAAGTCCCGCCGCCGCCGAACATCTTTATTGCCACCCATGAGATCGCCACCGTCACTAGACGAAATGGTCGCGGTTGCCGCTGTAACCGTTGCCGCCTCTATTGAAACCTCGTCACGCCGTCGTGACGAAAGGGGCTTGCTTCGCCTCCCTAGGAGTCGTCGCCAAGCACTCTGCCAAAGTCTCTTGACTCCTAGTTCGACTGCCCCCTCTTCCTTCAGAACTCCTCCATAAACTCGCCGGTGCTGCCATCCGCCGCTCCGCCAATCGCTGGCCGTTTGCCGACAAATGCCTACCTGCCACCGACGTCGGGAGAGACCCTACAGCCGTGTAGACGAGCCAGATCCAGTCCAAGCTCCGCACAGGCCCCTGCCAGAGTTTCTCGACGATCCACCGCCGTCGTGCCGTTTCTGGTGTTGCCTAGACCAGGAGGGCTCAACCCTCCCTAGTATCGTCGGCCGGGATCGTCTCCTTCCTTTGCTCCGCTTCCCAGTGCTGCCAGAGAAGGCCGGTCCTTCTTGCAACAGTTGGGCTTCCGCCCAACCACGGACGCTTGGCATTCCCGCCGAAGTGCTGCCGCCACGCGCCCACCTGGTGCCGCCGCCCGCATGCCCTGAGGCACGCCGTGTGGCTTTTTGTGTGCACCTACTAGCGTGTCCTTCGGCCCACCAGCGGGCCCATGCCCATGTCGACTACGCCATGCCTAACAACGATGACTACTGCGACTCTCGACCAAGACCGACCATCAACGCTGAGCATTGCTCTTCACCGAACGTCTCTGCTTACGTCGAGTCTTCGCTTTGTCACGACCCGCTGAGCTATGCAGCCTCAAAGGTTAGCTCCATACCCCTTCTTACTTAAGTTTAATTATCTTTCAAAGGGTTTTCTTAGCTCATTTCCACCGCCATCTAGAGAACGTAGACAAGATAGGACGGGTTATAGGATCATGACTTCTGACACTGCGTTAGACTCGTCACCATTCGTGAGCTGCAACCCTAGGCTACTTCACGACGATCGTTCCGTCATTTGTTCGGACGTGGACTGAGAGGGTCTCACACTTACCATCGTCGAGTGTTTCCCCGAGTTGTCCTAGGTTGATAGTGCATATTGGTACGCTTGCCTGTACTTAGGTTAGGTGGTCAGACCTAGAGTCTAGGGTCCATACATTCTTATCAGATAGGTCCGACCACCCCATCCCAGGTCTTGAGTTTCATTGATCAGGTACAAGGGTTCTCGCCCTGTCCTGCATCAGGTAATTTCTAAATCTTCTTGCAAAGACTAGATATTGATGAAATAGGTCATCAACTTGTCTCTAGTGACTATCACCCAATAGAGCGGAAGAACGGTGACTTTACATCTCTTCGGCGGCTGTCACCTGACGAAGAGGAGCTAGATGGAGGTGGGACGCGTGTTAGGAAGCTTCATCCTTAGGTCCATGCAGCAAGAGTAAGCTCTTCACCGCATTTGGTACACTCTCAAGAGGTGACAACTCGTCTCCTAGTGGATCGTCCTCTTCCCGATGACAACTTATTCATCAATTAATGAGTGATACTTTACTTGATGGATTCGTGATCCTTTTATCACGAATCATCCAATAATTTTAGTAACAATATTCTAAAAATTACGTTGACTAGATTTTCACTAATGATGAAGTCAGTCTACCAGCTTAATCCTTCACCGGTGATCTGTAGGAAAGTCATGATTTAATCAGATAAACATATGAGTTTTTCGCTTGGGTAGGATTCAAACCTACATCCGTTGCCTATATGTAGGAGAGAGTTTGAAATAAATACTCTAATGCCCTTATAAAATGATGTCATCATGATATATCTATGTTATAATTAAGTAATGTTTTAGGTATTAAAATAAATAAAGTCATTTTGGATCTAGGTTTAGTCCCACATTGGTTGTACGTTGAAGTTTTGGGTGAATATATAGTAATATCACATTTTCAACTAGTGAGTCCCTTTATCCCATATGTATGACCACCTCTTGTCTCACAGCTGGCTAGTCATCGGTGATGTGGAAGAGGAGTGGTGCACATGTGCCCTCATTGGTTCATAGCCGCTCAAGCCCCTAATCACGGCTCCCCCTGACTGTGTTTCTGACCTGTTTTCAGGCTTGGCTAGTTGACGGGTCCCCCATTTTTTCTATTTTTTTCTTCATTTATCTCAAAAATAGGACTAGAAAAATCATATAAATTCATATAAAATCACATAATTAGCCAATAATTCACATTAATCAACTAAAAATTATTTTTCATAATTTAACATAAATATAAGTTTATTTATCATGAGTTAAAGATAAAAATAATGAAGACTTATCACACCTCCCAACTTAAATTATTGTTAGTCTCTTAGCAATAGAATTACGAGAATAAAAATTCACAAATCTCAAAATATTATATTTTAATATAAAAAAATATAATTAGAAATGATGCACCTTTAGACACTTTGGATTTTTATATTAAGTATTTAAGAATGATGTCAAGCACTTAAATATTTTTCACTCATAGATATAACTCACAAGATGTTCCAATTATCAATACTCATCTAAGAATAATATTAATCTTACATTTTTATTTTTCTATGACTTGATTTTTTAAGTTTAGATTATTATTATTATTATTTTATATAGCAGATAAGTAGCTTTTCTTGTAGATAAATTTCGACAACAAGAATGATGTCTCACACCCTCTATATGTACTCTTCATTTTCAGGGCTTTCACTTTATCCACTTATTTTGCAACATGTGTGTTTCTAAGGACGATTTTTGACAATGACAATAATGTTTCACACTCTTCATGTGTACTCTTCGTTTCTAGATTTTTCACATTATTCTATTTTATTTTATTTTTCAAAATAACTGATTTCTCCTCACAAGTTAATTAAGGCGTAAAAATATATATTAAACTCAAATGATCAATCAAATTTTCACATCAAGTAAATACTATCCATCAAGATCATGAAGTAAAAATATGTAAAATCAAATCCATATTATTTATTATGTATCTAAGGAGTATTCTAACATTTCATACTACCAAATCATTCTTTTAACTCAATAATAATCTTCTTAGTATCTTTTGGTATCAATTAATCTAATTAATTTAATTTTCGTACATGCAATATGACGTAAGAAATTTGTAAATTAGATAGTTTTGATAGTTTTGTTTTCTATTTTCAGTTATGTTTTTAGCAACAATGAATTTATCAAAAATAAATCAAAACTATCCTCTTTATGGCTGTAATTTTGAATTACACCAATGTATGCCTAGGGGATTGAAATATGAGAAAAGGGTCTCTAGAATTTCAATTTTTGGGTTGTTTTTTCTATATTATTTTTGACAATTTGTAAATTATTTTATGTTGTTTCTGACAAAAAACCAAAAAAACAAATGCTATAGGCTTTTTGAATTTTTTAGTTACTTTTCTAAGTGAGCATGAAAACAAATGTAAACACATGTTTTTACTCTTCCTACAACATAAATTATAACTTAATAATTCACCACCAACTTAAAAATGACATTGTCCTCAATGACACAGAAATCGAAATAGAATATATAGAAAATATCATTCTCAAGTGAAGCATACATATATGCAAAGTTAAGCACTAAAAATGTTGTCATAAAGGATAAAACTTAGAAAGACATTACCTCAACTTTGTTTTTAATTTTCTACTTCATCTTACACTCTTCACCCTACACTTTTTCAAAAAAATAAAAATAAATACAGAAATAAGTACTATGAAATTCTAAGAAAAATAGAAAAAAACAAAAAAAATAAAATAAAAATCATGGGTTGCCTCTCATGCAGTGCTGAATTTAATGTCTCCAACTGGACACATAAGGCCCTATCTATTTTGATTTTAATTTTTCTAAGAATAATTTCAGCCTAGAATCATATAACCACACTTTTTGTCTAACATCAATTTTTTTCTACTAATATATTTATCACGAAAAGTTTTAATTTTTTCTGTATATATTCTATGATTTTCATAAGTTTTATTCCTCGACTCCTTTAGTTTATGTAGCTGAGAAATTCTATGCCCACCAGTTAATTTTTCATCCTTATATAAATTTTTTGTAGCCCATAATGCTTTATGCTCTATTTCCACAAGAAGATGACATGGCTTTCTAAAAATGAGATGAAATAGAGATATACCTATGTGATTTTATAAGCTGTTCTATAAACCTATAATGCACCTTGTAATTTCGTGGGTCAATTTTTTCTATTTGGTCTAATTATTTTTCTCAAAATTCTTTGAATTTCTCTATTTGCTACTTCAGTTTGCCCATTTGTTTGGGGATGATATGGAGTGGCTACTCTATGATATACTCTATTCTTTTCCAATAGTTCTTTGAAATGTTTATTTGTAAAATATGCTCTTATATTACTAATAATCACTCTAAGACACCCAAATCTCAAAAAAATATTTTCCTACACAAATTTCATCACAATTTTATGATCATTAATTTTAGTAGGAATAACTTCCACCCACTTAGACACATAATCAATAGCAAGAAAAATATATTCATATTTTTCAATTGATGGAAAGGGACCCATAAAATCTATTCTCCATACATCAAAAATTTTACCTACTAACATGTTACTCATAAGCATTTTATCTTTTCTACTCATGTTACTTATAGATTAGCATGAAATATATGTTCTACTAAATTCTATAGAATCTCTAATAATTGTAGGCTAATAAAAACCATACTAAAAAAAATTATAGTTGTTTTTCATCTAGAGAAATGTCCCCCACAGTTAGATGAATGGCACATGTTAAGAATATGATATTCTTCTTCACGAACACATTTTCTTAAAATTTGATCATTGCCCAAGTAATATAAATCAGAATCATGCCAAAAATAATTTCTAATCTTAGAAAAGAAATAATTTTTTCTGTTGTTATCTCACTATTCTACAATTTTTTCAAAAATCAGAAAATTAATAATATGTGCATACCATGGTGATGGTTGATGTTGAGTTATCATCAATTATTTATCTAGAAATGCATCTTGTAAACGTGCTGCATTTATTCCTATATCACTCAATCTACAAAGATGGTCAGTAACAATATTCTCGAAACATTTTTTATCTTTTGTTTCTAAATCAAATTCCTATAATAATAAAATTCATCTTAATAAATGTGGCTTTGCATCTTTCTTATTTAGTAAATATTTTAATATTGCATGAGCAGTATAAATAATAATTTTAGCTCCTATAATATATGATCTAAACCTTTCTACTGAAAATACTATAGCTAACAACTCTTTTTCAGTTGTGGTATAATTTAATTGAGCATCATATATAGTTTTGACTCTTTTTTTGTCCTAGAACGGCTCCCACTACATAATTCGATACATCACACATTATTTTAAAGGGAAGAAATTAATCAAGAGCTTGTAAAATAGGTGCCTCAATAAGTAATCTTTTTATTTCAGAAAAATACTCAAAACATTTCTCATTAAAATTAAAAGGCACATCTTTAGATAATAACATAATGAGAGGTTTAAAATTTTAAAACAAATCTTAAATAATGTTTTTATAAGAATTTAATCTATTTTACTAAATTTGGAGATTTCATTTTAGATATAATATCAATTTTTGCTCTATCTACCTCTAAATCCCTTTTACTCACATATGACCTAACACAACTCCTCTAACTATAAAATGTGATTTCTCCCAACTCAAAACTAATTTTTTCTCTATATATTTCTCAAGTACATATTGTAAATAATTTAAGTATTTGCCAAATGATTCACCAAAAATAGAAAAATTATTCATAAAAGTTTCCATATATTTTTCAGTCATATCAGAAAAATAAACAGCATACATCTTTGAAATGTGACTAGAACATTATACAGACCAAAAGGTATGTGTTTAAAAATAAAAGTATCAAATGGACAAGTGAAAGTTATTTTTTCTTGATCTAAAGGGTTTATATAAATTTGCTTATAACTAAAGTATCCATCTAGAAAACAAAAATAGTTTTTTCAGCTAATTTTTCTAGAATTTAATCAATAAATGATAGGGAAAAATGATATTTTCTAATAATTGAAATTAATTTTTTATAATCAATTCGAACCCTCCAACCAGTAATTAATCTTGTTTGTATTTCATCCCCATTTTCGTTTTTAATAACTGTGATCCCTGATTTGTTTGGCACCACTTGTGTAGGACTAACCCACTTGTTATCTGAAATAAGATAAATAATATCAATAGTCAAGAACTTTAATTTTTTTTTATATAATTTCTATCATGTAAGGATTTAATCTTCACTGTGGTTCCCTACTAGTTCTAAACCTTTCCTCTAGATATATACTATGCATGCATATACTTATATCAATGCCCTTAAGATCATCTACTTTTTAGCCAATAGCCTTCTTATTTTTTTGAAGTACATCTAATAATTCTTCTTCCTATTCATCACTCAAATCAGTTACAATAATAACAAGAAATGATTTATTTTTCTCCAAAAACATATATTTTAAACTAGGGGAAGAAGTTTCAGCTCTAAATTTAGACGATTTTTCTCTTTCTTTTCTCCTAAATTTATATTCTCTATTTCCTTTAATTCTTCCAACACATAGTCATTAATAACATTTTGATCATCAAAATGATCTAGAAGATCTTTAGTATGACAATCATATACTTTGGATTTCTTAAGATCATTTAATACCTCAAAATTTTTAATTTCTACTAATTGATCTCCACATAAAATTTTCGCAATACTTATGAAAAAATCAATATTCATGTTTACTATATGCACAAATGGTCTCCCTAAGATGATTGATGTATCATAAAACTATTCATTAAAATCTATTTTCAGCACTGCAAAATCAGTTGGAAATTTACACCCTTTAACTATTACTGTCACATTTTCTAAAATACCTTTAGAATGTTTTATAAATCTATCAGTAAATTGTAAGATAACAGTAGAAGGTTTAAGATCAGTAAAATTAAATTTATCAGAAATAGTTGTAGGTAATAAATTAATACTAGCACTGGTGTCAAGTAATACATTTTGAAAAATAAATCCATTAATATCACACGAAATTAAAGGGGCACTAATATCTCTCAATTTGTATGGTAATTGATTTAATAATAAAGTACTAACATACATAGATCATTTTCTACTCTATGTATCATTTTTGGTGTACACATTTCTTTCAAAACTCTAGCATATTCAAGAATATGTTCAATGATAGTAAGTAACGGAAAACTAATTTACACATCTTATAATATTTTCTTTATTTCTTCATTGTGTTCCTTTTTCTTTCTTTGTTTAAGCTCTAGAGCTTTAGGAAATAGAATGGTTATCCTTTCTTTCAAAATTTTCTTAGTAAAATCTATAAAATCATCTTCTACTTCTATTTGATTTTGTTTTAGGTTGTCCACATTTTTCTTTTCTTCTAATGTTTGAGGATAAGGATTAGATAAAATCTTCCCACTCCTTTATATATTCATTGTCCTAACATTTTCATTTCGTAGATTTTTTCCTAGATTCATACTATTAGACTCCCCTTGTTGAAATCCTATTGTTGGGTGATTATCCCTCTTCTTTCTTATTTTCAAAAGTTCATTTATAATTTTTGTCTACTGTAACATCATTTAATTCATAGTTTGTTGCATCATTTGGCTCATTTACTGCATTATTTTCATAGCATCAAGTTGGGTTTGAGAGAGCTGATTTTTCTTAAATCTATTTTTCTATTTTAGATGAAATTTAGAGTTTGAATTCAGTCTAAGTACTTTTAAATTTTGAATATTATTTAAATCTCTTTACGAAAAATTATTCCTCTAATTAAGATTATAAGAATTAGAAAAAGGCTCCCTATTTCTATTAAAACCATGAGCTACTTGTATTTGTTCTTGCATAGGGTGAAATGATTGATCTAAATTATAATATTAAAATTCAGAATAATCATTTTCACCATACATAAGATATATACTATTTGAATTAAATTGAGGGTTGAGGTTTTCTAATATTGTCAATAAGTAAATCAAGCATATCACTAGTGAAATTTTGATTTTTCAATCTTGATTGAAGAAAATACACTAGTGATGGTTGATCAAGTGTCCTCTCTTGCAATCTTGATATGTCACTAGTGATACACTCACAGTCAATTGAGGAGAGTACACACAATCGAAGCGCTTCAATCTTGATTTTTCTCTCCCCGAAACCCCCTTTTGGGATATAAAAATTGGGCGGGAGTAGTTTCCTACCAGAAAATAATCACCATAATAAAATAAATGAGGAAGAAGAAGTTGGAACGGACTCCTACTTTAGTTTGATCACATCAACCTAACACATCTGAAGCAAGTGACAAATGCGTCTATTTTCCTTTTAATAGTGACACTTCTTTCATGATGCTAGCGATTTTTGTTGATGGTTGATACATTGGATGAATCTCTGGATGCATTGCGAATTCTTCTTCCCCACATAGAGACTACATAGCACGGTGGAAGACAAACGTGCTAGAAAGCGGGCGTTGCCTTCAGCTGGAGAGGGGTTTTAAGCTGGAAAAGGAACCTGACAGTCTCGCTCAAGTCGACATCCTCAGGCTTCATGCCGTCGGGGAGCTCCCAGTTGAAGCAGTGCAGTAGGTTTGCGAGGGTGAGTTCCACGCCTGTCACTGCCAGGTTCATTCCAGGGCAGATTCTCCGGCCGGTCGAGAAGGGTATGTACTGGAAATCCTGCCCCTTGTACTGGAGATCGTTGTCCTCAAAGCGTTCCGGCCAGAAGACCTCCGGGTCCTTCCAGAACTGGGGATCCCTCATAATAGCCCATATGTTGGTGATCACCCTCGTCTTGGCGGGGATATCATAGCCGCGAACATTTACGTCCTTCATGCTCTCATGGGGAGACGGAATCGGGCCTGGAGGGCGGTGGCGGAGAATCTCCTTCACCACGAGTTTGAGGTAGGTGAGTTTTTGAAGGTCGCTCTCACCCACCATGTGCTCCCCCCCCACAATTCTCCGTACTTCCTCCTGCGCCTTGTTCATTACCCGCGGGTTCAAAGCCAGCTCCAGCATTCCGAACTCAATGACCGAAGCCGTAGAGTCTGACCCACCCAAGAAGATCTCCTGCAAAACGAGACAAAGAATCAGTAAGCGCAACCGACGGAGCGAATTAGTATCTATATAAGATTTGGATTCTTTAATGGTAAAAACTAGCATACCAAGAGGACAGTCTTGATTTGTTCTCGGGTAAGGCTAAACCCGAGGGAGGTATCTTTCTGGAGGCGGAGGAGGACGCCCATGAAGTCTCTGTCATCTTCGTTGTCGCACTTCAGGTGGTCCTCGATCTCTTCCTCGAGAAGGTTGTCGAAAAAATTGAAAGCCTTCTCGAGATGACCGTGGAAGCCGGTGAGCCGGTCGAGAAATCCCATTGAGGGGAAAAAGTCTGAGGGACAGAACGCGCCCAAGAGTTTGGAAGACTCCCACAGCTGGTCGTGGAACTTGTTCCTACGGCACTCGCCGTCATTCGAACAGCGCCTGCCGAAAGCTTGCCGGCAGATAATATTGTTCAAGAGGCAGCGGGCCATATCGCTAACGTTGGGCATCTGATCCGCGGCCGAGATCTCGGCGATGGTCTTGATGAGAACGCGAACCTCTTCCTCTCGGATGGCCCTCAAGTATTGGATCCGCTTCGTGGTGTACAGCTCGGCCACACTGATCTTGCGGAGCTGGCGCCAGCCCTCGCCATAGGAGGCGAAGGTAACGCCGTGGCCCCCGTACGAGAGACGGTTGGTGACGGCGCGGATGGGCCTGCTGCAGAAGACCGAATCGTGCGACTTATGGATTTCCTCCGCCATATCGGCGTTGGAGACGACGACAGTTGGGACGCTGCCGAGCTTCAGGTACATGAGAGGCCCATAATTATCGGCCAGGCGGAGGAGGGAGCGGTGGGGGATCTTTCCGAGCTGATGGAGGTTGCCGATGAAAGGTAGCCCAGGGGGGCCTGGGGGCAAGTTGAGCTTCGGCTTCCGTCCCAGGGACTGGAGGAGAAGGAGAGGAATGGCAAGGAAGGAGAGGAGAATGCCTGAGAGGATTTGATCCGCAGTTATCATCTTTGGTTTCTGAGGCTGAATGGCGGAGGGAGTCGACACATTCATTTAAATCCTTCTGATTTTTGTTTTCTATAACATTTTTTGGAGCAAAATCCAATCACACTTCATTGCCGACAACGAAAACATTGGTATGGGCAGATGGATGCGCAGTTGACTTTGTTTTGTTGTTTTGTCGGAGCAATTATGGTCACTTGGCATTATCAGGAACAGTTTTCTTGCTTGGACATTTCAAAGGTAAAACCAGACGTGTTCCCATAAATCGAGATCCACGTGTTTCTATCCTAGCAAATGTTCTAATGATTTAGACTTTGACAAGTCAGATCAGCATCAACATTTAATTCCAAGGATTAATGGTTGGCATTAGCCCCAACCATTCGACTAGAAAGGCTATTAATAGTCATTCTGGTTCGAAAATTTTGCCTATACATTTATTGTTCCTTATTAAAAGTATGGTCAAAATATGATTTACTTTGTACCTAATTTAATATTGAATGATATCAACGTTTTAATCATTTTTGTCGTATTTTCATCATTTTCTCAAGCAGAATTTTAATTTTCGACCATAATGAGAAAGTTATTTCCCAAATTTTCAATTAAAAATCCCATGCTTGATATTCAAATTTCTTACTATTCCATTTTTTTTAGTGTAGTGAAACTCAGATATTATTTCACCGAATATTATGTTGTGAATGTATCCAATTTATAAGTATTTACTAAATATGAATGCAAAATTGATACAAAAATATTAGTAAAATAAAATGGATAATGGCCATGTCTTTTGTCGTAAGATCATCCTAACATCATGTGAGAAAATAATTTTGGGGAGTTAAGCATTAGGAATTCACATTGGAAGCAACTAATATATGCCATGATGACCATGTTACACAACATTATGTCATGATTGTTTTGTATTTACCTTGTCATGAACTTTTTTATCAAATTTAATTTATGGCACCATGATGAAGCACATATATCACAAGGTTTTCTGTTTGGAATTAATTAGTCTATTATTTTATGTTGTCCTACTATAAGAGAATGTCGCACAGCATTAAGTGTCTTATGTATCTGTATTTATTCGTTTATAATATAAACATGGATGAGTGAGAAAGAGGTAGAGAGGATAAAGTAACTAGGTATATCCAGCTAGGAAGCCACCCATGGTCTAAGTGTGGGCCATCCCAAAGTGGAAAGAGAGCCAGAAAAGTGTCAAGACAACCTTCTTTGGGGTGGGTTTCTAGCTAGGCATTTTAAGGCCCCTGGAAATTGGTGTCTGGTCCAGTCCACCCTGCTATCCTCCAAAGTAAAGGGAAGGGGGAGGCTGTTTTCCTCATATGAAGGGCAAAGATAACTATAATTGAGCCCTCCCTCACGTCTAGGATCTAAAAAATTTTGGAGGCTGGTTTTTAAGCTACGGAATACAAGTGATTTCAAAGTTCAGATATTTTGGACACTAAAACCAAATAATATTGCACCTATGTTATTCAAACCTTCATCTGCCTAAGCTTGTGCCATATTTTACATCTTAAAATTATATATGAGGTTAAATATTCTTTAAAAATGCATCTTCTATTGTCAAAACCATTTGGATAGTTTACATATGAGGTTTCATATTGATTGGATACATGCAAGCATACAACTCTCACGTGACATCCTCAAACTATCATTCTCTTAATTTCTCAACGATGGTATGATCTTAATGCCAACCCTTGTAGCAATTGTATGAAAATTCAAGATCAATGTAAGTTGTTTCAAAAAATGGAGTCAGACTAGAAGCCTGAGCACCTCATTAGTCGCTGCTCGACAAAATTAGGTGAACATAAGTTGCTACCATATCATAATACTTGTCAGACATCTATAGGTGGTCACTGCAATGGCCAAGGACAACATTTTCCCGACCATTAAAAGAGTCGTGTGCTTGAAGTATGGCTTGTGTGTCATTCTAAGAAAAATAGGAAAACAGGCTACTATAGAAACTTTCAGATGCCCAAGCTTTCCCCGCCAATTAGCTTCCAGTCAAAGCCACGGAGAAACTTCGCAACAGCAAGCGCAATGGAAAGATATGCTAGTTGATCCACGTGACTGGCCCTTGTACTCAAGACTGCCCTGCTCGAACCTCCTTCCGGGACATTGGGCCTTTCATAATACCCCACACACTAGTGAACAGTGTTGTCAAGGGAAGAATGTTGAAGCCACAGACCTCTGTAGAATATTTCATACTATTTGAAATAGAAAATATAGCTAAGTTTAGAAAGTGTACGCCTGTGGTGGAAGTATGTCACGAAAAATAGTCCTTGAACTCTTTTCGTCTCTCTAATACAGAGTATCGACCTGTAGATTACTAGAAAACTTCTGTAGCACAATACCAGAAGTTCATTCCATTCGTTGTCAAGATAGGGTTCGCAAAAATTAGAAGAAAGAAACCGAGGAAATAAAATTTTGGTGAGACGGTATCAATATTTGGACAGAGATGCTGGAGAGAAGGGCAAATTGGCCTGCTCATTCCTGTCATGGTCTCTCCGTCAGTCCCTCCACGCTTTCTGCAGGGTGAGATGGGATGCTGAGAGATTAAGCGAAGATAATTTTTGTGTAACTGGAACCAGGAAAGGCCAGGGTGCACACGCGCATGGGCGGGTGGTTTAGGCATCCCTCAGGTCCAGTGGATCACGGAGGCTTGACGGAGCCCCAGCAAGGCCCAAACACCCCCAAAAAGAAGAGGCCCAAGAATGTGCCATGGAATAGCTTCGTTGCAGTCGGTGGATCTTGGCAAACGCTTCGCAGTGCTTTCGTTTAGTCAAGGGCACTTAACTCGCTCCCAATAGGCAAGAAGTATAGCTGCGAAATAAACTTGAGGGACAATGTTCTTGTAGTCTTGAAGGAACTCCTCGAAGAGCTGGAAGGACTTCTTGAGGCGGGAATGCAAGCTGTTGAGCACGTTCGGCCGACCCATTTACGCGAAGAAAGTCGGAGGAACAGAAGCTACTGAGGGTCTAGGAACTCCATGAGCTAGATTGTCACTAAACTTGCTATATCGCCACTCACCGTCTTTGGAGCTTTGCGCGACAGCAGCTGATGCTGTTGAGGAAGTGCTGGGCATGTCACTGACGTTTACCAACTGGCCTGGGGGATCGATTTTGAGGATGGTCTTGATGAAGACGCGTATCTTTTCTCTGATGGGACTTAATGTCAGGACAGGATTGGCATTAGAGAGGTTGACCGTGCTCATCTTGTGTACGTGGCACCGTATCTTGCTGTAAGCTGCGAGGGATATGCTACGACTCAACACTATCTCAATATACTATAGTGTTGACTTTGATATGACTAAGTAAAACACCAAGAGGGGGGGACTGAGTTGGTTTCTTACATTTTTATGTTATATTCTATTTTTACGTCTTTGGGCTCGAAATTGTGGGGCTTATCTGGCTTGTCCATCTCTATCGCACAAAATACCACAACAAAAACACCAGGGCTGATGAACAGTTATTCACCCTGTAGGAAGAAAATTTCTGTTCACCTTGATGGATTATCCAAGGATTCTTCAAGTTGAAGATGCTTTTATTCCATGAAAGAATTCACGCATGAGAGCTAGCCATCGTTGTCACCTGGGATTCTTTAGCTGTGACAACTAGAAGTGGTTTCATAACTAATAAATTTTGAATCAAGGACAGATTTTCCAAATGATAATCCTATTCTTCAATGGAATAATTCATGTATGAGACCCGGGCATCGTAATCATCCGAGATTTTCTATCAATGAAAACTAAAAAGGGCATTGAAATCAATAGATTTTAAACCTAGGGAGCATATTTCTAGCTAAGATACAACCATTACATAAACAAATTGCATTCGTGAGAGCCATTCATCGTAATTATCTAATATTTCTCTATCTCTGAAAACTAAAATGGCTATTACAGTGGAAATATTTTGAATCCAGATGAAAAGCCATGAGGAAGACTGCTATTTTTGTCACACCCCCATCCCTCAGAACTCTCAATCCTTTCCCCCCCACTTAGTTCAATTCCAACCGGTGTCAATCATCCAGCTGCAAGCCTCAGTACTACTCACTTGCCCATATCCTTTGCCTGGCTAATACATGATGAAAGAAGTAGCATTGGTAAATAGGCTGTGAATTCCTACGCCTGTGCCATCTGACTGACCAAGAAAACTCTATTCTAAGAGTGCAACATGAAATCATTTCACCGTTATTCGTCATTGAATGAGAAAAACTGGAGAATTGGAATTTAATCTTATGTTCACATACAGAAGCGTCGTAAGCAAAGGCAGCAGCCACAGCAGGGAGGAACAACCACAAGATGAGCCCTGAGAAGGAATTGCAGAGTAGATTATACATGCCCAGCTCTCATACCATAAACCCCATAAAGGGCGGGACTGAGGATTGATTTATACCTTGGAAACCAGAAGGAGGTTCGACAGCTTTGTACTCCTCTCCCGTGTTTTTTGACGAGGTGGTGAAGGACTCCTTCCAAACTGGTCGAGATTCTCAATTAGAGGGAGTATGCGGGGATGCGGGGGGGCAGGTTAAGTTTCTTTCTCCATCCGAGGTCAAAGATGACAAGGCGAGGAAAGCCAGAAGGCAACAAAGGGCTGGCTCAAGGACCACATCTACCATTGCCATCTACACATTGTGTGATGTGCCCCAATGGGAAGAAGACCCCTCGTCTCAGGGGAGATCTCATCCTCCAAGGTCCACACATGGCCTTATCGGACTAAAATCAAGCATAGTCTGCAATGCCACAGGGACACGAGAGATTCGGTTGACTACTTTTGAGAGTGAGTCTTATTGGGAATTGGTGCGGCGCTTCCTTCTAGGCAAAGCTCTGAGCAGGGAGAATGTAGCTCTACATTAATCCCACTTAGAATTGCGATGTTAACCTCCTTTTTTTAAACGTAGGGTTAGGGAGATCACCTTGGAACAAAATACATAATTGCCGTACTTCAAATTATTTTCCAGAGTATGTCAACTCATCACACAGTTGGATCCAC